CTCCTCCTCCTCCTCCTCCCGGCGCGGGCCCGGGGCCTCCGATGTCGCCGCCTCGTCGTCCGCTGCCTCCAGCTGCCCGCTGCTAAGCCGTGAGGGGCGGGGGCCCTCCTCGGGACCCCGCCGGGGACATGGGCAACGGGATGTGCTCCCGAAAACAGAAGCGGATTTTCCAGACCCTCCTGCTCTTGACTGTGGTGTTCGGCTTCCTCTACGGGGCGATGCTCTACTACGAGCTGCAGGGCCAGCTGAGGAAGGCTGAGGCCACGGCGCTCAAGTACCAGCAGCATCAGGAGTCCCTCTCAGCTCAGTTACAAGGTACTTACACCCCTTCCTAAGGCTTGCAGAATACCCTCCTCCTCCTCCTCCTCCTCCTCCTCCTTCTCCTCCTCCTCCTCTGGGGAAGTCTGGGCTCCAGCTGTCCAACCTCTCACAAAGTTTTCCTCCTTACGCCCTTCTCCCCCTTCTCTCCCTCCAGCCTGTGGGGTTTTGATATCAAACCGTGGGTAGGATCCTCGCCCCGCTGAAGGCAGCGTGAGGTTTTTGTCATGGACTGCTAGAGAGCTCTAATTCCCCCTCGCTCCCGCACGTTTTGTAGCGTGACTGGTTCCCAAAGGACTGCACATCGCTTTGCAGTTCCTGGCAAGGCAGGCATACTGCCTGCCGCTGTTCAAACAGCACGGACCCCATCCAGCTCTGGGACTTTTGCGTGCTTCTGTGTTGTCTTAGCAGTGCTAATTTTATGCTGCTGAGAGAACATTCAGCTGCAGAAATGCAAGGTTGCAGTTCCTGGGCAGCATAAACCTGAAATAGCTCCAGGAAGGAGAGGGGTATTCTAATAAAGCGTTTTTTTTAAAGGGTAATTTGAAAGTAAAGTTCAAATGAGTTATTTGGATAAGGCTATTCTGTTGCTTTTGGAGTAACTTTGAATTTCTTGGCTTAAAGCTGCCACATAAATACAGATCCTTGTCTGTCTTGGTTTAAGGATGCACCAAATGTGGGCGTCCTGTACTTGAAGATGAAAAGATGCCGATGTCTGACATCTGCATGTCCAGAGATCAGATGCAAAGCAGCAGATATATATGTGAAGCATTAGTGCTCTAGGAAGTGCAAGACCTCAGCACCTCTCTAGTCGCCGAGTGCAAGGTTATCAGGATGGCATATACAAAGTGCAGAGCCAGCTTTCAAAGCTCTTTCGAGTTTTACTTCTCAAAACTGTATAAAACAAGAATAAGAGTGGTCTGCCCTAGCAGCTGTAACAGTACTTAGCTTCAGGGTGATCTTCAACCATACTTTCACTGTGGAAGCATGCATAAAAGCATGCCTGGGAAGCACGCAGTTTTTATGCAGAGAGCGCAGAATTGGACTTATGCTGTTAAGATTTTTATAGTGATTTGCTACTTGAATATGTTAAGCTACATTCTGAGACCACCATTACTTAGTATTTCAATTTCAGGCCATTTCCAGGTAATGCCATGGAGAAAAATTGACAGAAACCTTCATTTTAGTCATGAAAAAGGTGTAAATGTTTGGCTGGGAGAGGGGTATGTGGCAGATGGCTAAAGGGCTACTTTTGCTAGTCTGTATATTTGCCAACAGTATTTGAAGAGGACACAGGAACATCTTGTTCTCAAGCTAAAATTCAACAAGTTAGCTTTTTTTGTTGCTCTGGCTATACCAAAGAGGAGCATGCAACAAACTTTATCCTTACACAGAGGAGAGATTCTCTTGATCAGATACATTGGGTCTGGACTGCTAGTTTAAACTTTCCATGTCTGAAGCAGTATTTTGAGTAGCCATCATCTATCCATGCACGTTTATGGAAGCAGCAGGCAACTAATAGTTGATAGATGCAGTGGCAGTGCTGCATTTTACATAAGTATTCTCTTGCTTGTTTCAGTGTGTCAATGCGAAATGTAAAATAATGGACCAGAATCTGAAAACATTAATACGTTTGATTATCAATGTGATAAATTTGCATGGTTCTGAGACCCATGGCAATGTATCAAGCCTGTTAAGCAGGAGATCTTATCTATGCCGAGTATGGTAGCAGTAAACCTTGTTTAAAAAAAAAAAAAAAATTACTAGCAATTAAGTCACAGGATACAAGGAAAATCCTAATGTAACAAAATTGGCTCTTTAAAATTTTCCTGTATTATGGCAATAGCTAATATACCTAAAAGAGGGTGAGGCTGAGAGCCCAGAGGCATCCTAAACGCAGCAGCAAGCATTAGGTGCCTGATCTCCCACTAAGGTAAACGGAAGCTGCATGCCTGAGGACTTGGGCCTAGTGAGCTAGAAAGAAACTTTTCTTCCCTGGCTTTCCCTGTACATTTAATGACTCACTCTAGGATGGCCTGCCCTTTTAAATCCCTTGGATTTTTGCAGTAGCAGTTTATTAGTGAGGGGAACATAGAGAATTTAGATCCTGTGCCTGTGCCCAACTCACCTGGAGATACACAAGCACCATGCTAAGTGGTGATAGACAACACCAAAACCATTTCTGAACCTTTCCTAATTTAATTCTTTGATGTGGAACAACAGGAAGGAATTTTCTTTAAACAACAGAAAGGAATTTTCTTTAAACAACAGGAAGGAATTTTCTTTAAACAGAGACTTCGAAACAACATCAAATGCTGCTGTCCTCAACAATACGAGAGATTACTCTTCAAGTTTATTCTTTTAGGGGAACACAAAAAAATGTATCACTACTAAAGCAGCCCAACTTCTCTTTTCATAGAATCATAGAATCGTTTAGGTTGGAAAAGACCTTTAAGATCATCCAGTAACCATTAACCTAACATTACCAAGTCAAATCCATGCAGCGTAATCTGTTTCTCTATAGATACTGGTCTAGAGAGAACTTTTGGGGCCTGGGAGCACTCTGAAATCTTTTAAATGGGAACCAGTTAAAAGGCGAGGTCATAGTATTGGCATAGTATTGCCGGGAGGAAAAGAGGGTTCTGTATCAACAGCAGTTGATTTCTTAGTGTTTACAGCTCTCTTCTGGGTGACTAAGTAAGACTGTAAAGCTCATTACAAGCTGAGGAGAGAATTGAACCTTGGACTTCTACTTCCTGAACAGAGATTTCATCAGTAGGCTTTTATTGTTTTAAATAAATTAAAAAAAAAAAAAAAAAAAAAAGGCAACTTCTTAAAGTTGTCCTTTTGAGGATCCTGAGCCTGTATTGTGCTGGGCTGGCTATGCTTCTGGAAGGCCGACTGGACTGAAATGCTTGGATGACAGTGAAGTATCACCTGTTTTCTGGATTTTGGTTGGGTTTTGTTGTGACTCCTGGTGCCTAGAAAGACAGGTGCTTTCCTGATCGTACACAGAACAACACTGTTAGGGCTTTTGTGTGGAACTTGAGTCAGTTTGTGAAATGCTTAAGGATCATAGGGAACTCCTGAGTTTATGTATATGGTCACAGTTATGGACCTGAATGCCTTTGGTCTGCCTAGAATCTTAAGAAGGATCCTCAGACGTAGCTTGGAGTGTAGCCTCCCGTCGCTTCCTACTGTCCCCGCTACTATTTTTCTATCTCTGCGCAGGTTTTTAGGTTTTTCATCTAGGTAGGTAATAAGAATCTTCTTTTTGGTCCTTGCCAGTTCTTCATGCCTGAATGAGCAGTGCTTTCTGGTTTTGTTTGAAAAGCCAGTTGGCTCAGATTTTTATCTTTTTCATTGCCTTGTTGTGCTCAAACACAGCACGTGAACCAGGCTAGATCATCTGTACATGTGGGAAAATAGCACTCTTGTCTACCAAGGCAGAATGTACAGATCACTGAAAAATGGTGCAGGAAGAGGTCTCGAATTCATTTAGCCCACACACCTGATCTGAAGAGGGCTGCATACAACTGTTGTTGTAGGGAGTTCTGGCTTTTTCTGGTGTTTGCAGCTGCACGTACTCAGCTGAGAAGTATTTGTGCCTCTTGAAATAAGACCAGGGTGCGATTGGAAGGATGGCAGACTTGGAGAACACGGTAAGAATGGCTGGTTTGGAGAGTCTGGGATGTTAAGCTTAGCCCCTTCAGACAGCTCACGTTGTAGAAGATTTTGTATTTGAAAGCTAAACTCACAAAAAAGAATGTCAAACTTTGGCACTTTTATCTCTTTAACAAACTTCTGATGGGCATGGAGAAAGTAGGGCTGCTTTTGTAACCCACAAAAGGAATACCGGAGGCAAAATTTAGAGATGACACAAAATTTCTTGACTGCTAAGAAAACCTAAAGTCATTGTTATCTGTAAGGTCTTTAATAGAGAAGCTGAGCTTCCCAGTAAGCTGATTATTTTTAAATCTCATTCTTTGAGTATTATATGTTCAAAACATGACGATAATCTTGCTTTTATCATTTTAAGAAATACTAAATAAAACTTGACACTCTTTGCCTCCTACAAAGATGTGTCAAACTAAGTCTTAAACTATTGGCCATATAGGAACAGGCTTCAGTGGCTAGAGCATAGAATCATAGAATCGTTTAGGTTGGAAAAGACCTTAAAGATCATCCAGTCCAACCATTAACCTAACACTACCAAGTCCACCACTAAAACAGTTGAGGGTAGAGTAATAATTTCATGGTTCCTGGCTTGGTGGCTGGATTATTTTTTAATGAAAGGAAAAACTAGGAATCATGAACAGAAATGTATTGACAGCTGTAGATGAACCTGGTCATACCTTTGACTGCTTCAACACTGAATGCATCTACGAATGTCTTTTTAGCCCTTACAGCTTCTGTCTTCTCATCCTCTGGGTGTTAAGTAATCCCTTGTATACTATTTTAATCTGTTTAATCTGTTTTAATCCCTAATACTAGTAACAGCCTACATTAGTGCCTTTTACTACCTTGATTTCCCTGCCCTTTCTCTTAGAGTCACAGCGTATCTGATGGCCTCAGGCAATCTCTGTGCAGCCTGAGACCATACTTTAATCTTGAGAGCCAACCCAGCAGGGACTCTGAACTTGAGAGTTCAGAGTCTGCCCCACTGTAAACAAGGTGTGGATTTCCTCAAAGCGATCTGATCCAGCGCTGGAAAGCACCAGCTGAAAAGCAAATGCAGAATTCCTCTGTGCCTGTTGTGCCATTTGTTCCAAACCCAGGCCCCTCCTTGGAGGTGACCTGCTAGAAGTTGATCAGATCTACAGCAGCTCTGTGTATAGAGATTTGCATAATGCATCATACTAGCTCATAGTTCCGTGTAACTTTTTAGTGGTTAATATTTATTATGTCTGCCTGCATGCTAACTACATAGATGCCAAAGCCATTCTTAGTGAAGTGCATACAGATGTGGATGTACTTCACTATCTCACCCCTCTTTT